TATAAGCGCGACCGTATGACGATTTCAAAACAATGTTTGGAGATGTTTCAACATAATCCAGATGAATTTCTGCGTTGATTCATTACTGGACGGAACATGGATCCATTACTTCACATCCGAGACGAAGGAACAGTAAAAACAATGGACTTCACCGGGTAAACCAGCTCCGAAGAAGGCAAAGACCGTGAAGTCGGCCAAAAAGGTAATGGCCACAGTTTTTTGGGATGCACGCGATATGTCGATTACCTTTCGTCAAAGCAAACGATCAATGGCGATTACTACGCAGCCTTATTGGACCGTTTCAACAACATTTTAAAGAAAAAACATCCCCATTTAGCGAAGAAGAAAGTGTTCTTCCATCAAGGCAATGCACGGATTTACACGTGCCCGGCACTGATGGCCAAATTCAACGAATTCCGCTACGAATTGCTTCTCCATCCAGCATATTTGCCAGATTAGCCCCCTACGACTATTTCCTGTTTCCAAACCTGAAGAAATGGTTCGGAGGAGAAATTCACCACCAGAGAGCAGCTCATCACCGAAACAGAGACTTATTTTGAAGGATTGGACAAATCATATTATTCGGACGGCTTGAAAAAGTTGGAGAATCATTGGATCAAGTATATTAAGCTGAAAGGAGATTATATTGAAAAATAAAAATGAATCGATCAAAAAAATGTGTTTTACTATGTTTTTCTAAAAACTTATTGACTTGAATAATGTTCGTATAACAACTTATGTAGTTTATTATTTGTCGTTTATTCAAGGTCATACTCAGTATTACATAAACTAACTTTAATTTTTATACCAATTATCTAATAATGTCCCGTATAATATCAACGTATTATCCCGAATATGAATTTCACGTTTATTCTCCAGAACTCAGTTCATAGAAACTGAATCATAAGCAAATGCAAAAACGCCATCTACGTACTCTATTCTTAGTACTATACTAGTCTAGTGTCATGGAAGTTTTAACATGTCTAGTGCTCTCCTGCTGTGTGGCTTTCTCTTTCTTTTTGGATACGTATAAACACACTGTAGAACGTCTTTAGTATGTACCAGTAACTAAAGTACGCAAGACATAGGAACTATCTTTGTGTGCACTATAGTACGTCGCAGTACGTATTTCGAACGTTCTGAGAATAAACGCAATATACTTTTTTGATATTCCACGAAACCTGCTCAGAATTAACATGTACT